CCTACACTACAAGAATAAGCTTTTATTCTGTCTTCCCTGATGCCCTCCTCTCTTCATCTACCAAGCTTGCACCTGACAGTTCAGAAAGCTTTGCACACAGGCTAACACAGAGACAGGACTTCCTCAATGAAGCATGTTTAGAATGAAAGTATATGCTCTTTTTACCTATTTTCCATTTTTTTCTAAGTGAAGGAGTAACAGATGCTGGGCCCTGTGCCTGTGCATAGCCTGGCAACAGCCACCAAGCCAGAAACTACTGTCATAGACACTGCTGGTAGGGCAGCCACACAAACATCTGTACACAGACAGCTGCCTCAGTAATATTCATGCATTACATTTCAGTACACATACTAAAAAGTACAGTTTTATAAAGATGTATATGACTTAGGTTTTAGTGTTCTTGGTTTACTGGAGGACACTCTCATTAGTACTGACGGGCAGAACTAGCTAAAAGGACTGCACACTGAGCACAAAAAGTGAGATAGATCAAGTGTGACAAGAAAAAAGAGCACACATTAATTACTTTAAAAATAGATATCAACAGGGGAAAAAGACTTATCTTAAAGCACCAATACATATCTTACAAGCTTATTCATTTGTGCAGTCATATGTGCAAAAGGTATCATGCTATTTTCATTCGCTATCTGTAAATATAACAATATCCTCAAGGAAAATAATCTAAAAAGTACAAGCAAAGATGTGCAATGATAGATATTAGATAAACGTATCATTTTACAGTTCTAGGTCTATCCTGGAGTTATGTATGTCATTTAAGGAGGTATACATTAAAGCACAAAGAGAAAATCACCCATGCACCCATGAAGTCAAAGGGACACATGCTTGGAATGCAATTAAGAATGTTCAGTAGCCAAGCAGCATATTTTAGATTTGGGAGAGTCCATAAAACATTGCAGTCAGTCAACATGCAAAGAAAGGGCAGTGTATATCACTTGCTCAAAGTCACTCTGTATAATAATGAACCTCTGTAATTAGGCTACCTAGTCAATCATAAATCTGGCATTCCCAAGTGTACTTTGGAGTGTGACTTCAGTAAACATTGCCATCAGAGTGATTCAGAGATATACTTCCTTAGCCTTCTAGAAAAAAAAACAAAAAACAGACACTAAAAATGAGCCAATTTCCCCATGTGTCATGATACTGTTATGAACATAATACAGGACTGCAAATCCTAAGGCTGCCATAAAGACATCTGAACTGATATCTGTCCACTGAACACCTGTAGTCTAGCGGTAGATCAACCTCATTAAACACACAAGCTTCAAATGAAGTCTGCATTCCTCCAAGTGAAGAGGTTACAGATGAAGTCAGTCAAGACAACATTGCCTCATCACTTCCCAGATGCAAGAAAAGTCCTAATGGCAGGGCACTTGGAGTCCCTTATTTCAGGCTCAGTTCATATTCCTACCAGTGAGCAGGAGCCCACAGTAACTGCAGGAACAGCTCTCCATGTCTGTAAGCCAGACCTGCAGTGCAGGTGTGGAGCAAACAATGACAATTTGAGCTACGCTCACAAATGGGTTCATCAGGAATACTTCAAAAGGCTTATATTATAACCTTGCCAAATTTGAAAATAAAATGTATTAATTCAAATAGCAATCACATTGATAGCTCCAGCTAACCACAGATACAAAGTAAGTTTTAAACACTAATGCAAAATAATTGATTGTGCACGTCACATTCAGGCTCTTGGCATGACTCACACCCAATTATCATTTTCTTGCTCAAATTCAAGCCTTGTATGTACCCACTTCATTGCACATGACTTATAAACAGAACTCTGATACTTCTTCTGAGGACAATTTTACCACCCCTTAAAATAAAAAAAGAAGTGAAATTTCAAATGACTGGATGGTTGCACAAGGCTTTAAGACAGAACTTTTCATATTCTTTAACACTTAACAAGTATATCACTCTAATAGTCTGCAATGCTATTGCTTCTACAGTTACGCTCTTCTGTTTTTCTTCTTTTTTGATAATCACCATCTTATAAGCCAGTGACAGGAATATATTTCTAAAAGATGAATGCCTCTCCCACAAAGAAACCCATATTAGGGGGGTTTATTAGTGGTTTATGACTGTCATTCTTCAAAAAGATTGCTTCTCTTGTATTGAATCCTAAAATTTATTTTCTTAGCCACTCTATCGGTGGTTTTGTTTGTTCTTCCCAACGTTTGAAAAAAGCTTTCCTCTACTGCACAGCTACTTCCTGACTGTCTGCATAGCTGGCACTTCCACTACATCATCAGGCAATTGATATTCTCTTTATCCAGTCACCTGCTGTCATACTACTCATACAAAGAAAATTGTCAGGCCCACAACAACCATGCCTCACAAGCTTTCTCAACCTCCCCCTCACAATTTAAGTTCTTCCTTCTTTTGATGATCACTTTCATAACTACAGCTTTCATGTTTGTTCATACAGAAGATTAGCACTTTCTCAGCTACCCTGCTAACACACATCAGGAGCCCAGCTTTCCTATGCTGGCTTAAAAGAAAGTAGCTACCAGCCACCCTGAAGAATACTGCAGTATCACAATCACTGCATGAGAATAATTTCAAAGGCAGGAACAAAGCAAGGTGTAGGCTTAACTGAAAAAAGAACCAAAGACTTATATTATACCAGTGTTACACAATGGGGCAAACTTCAGGAGATTAATCCCCAAAATATAATTCAGAACAATTCCAACACCTTCAAATGCATTTAAGAAAAAATTTGAAGAGAAAAATTAAAGAGAGAGGGAGAGAACATTAAACACAGGCTTATGGAGATCAGCTGGGACACAACACACCAGAGCTGTCCTCCTACAGTATACATCTCTCAATGGATTAAAAAAAAAAAAAAAAAAAAAGTAAAAATGACACCCAAAAAAAAAACCCATATAAAGATAGAATTTTCTGTGTGTCTGACACCCCATTACAGACAAGGGTACTGCACCTCTACAACTTCTTCGATTTACCCCGAAGTGTCAAAAAAAAAAAAAATCTGCAGAACTTTATTTTCAGTCAACTAAGGGTCCTTTTATTCATTCGGTTTTCCTTATTCATCCATGAGCTGCAACATGATTGACATCTTCTCCACCAGAACTGTACAGCAGCATGACAAGCTAATTATTACATAAAAAATGATACACATTACCTCTCCAGGTCAAGCTACAATCCTCTAGTTGGATGTAATTTTTAAAATTACAAGCTTTAATAAATTGTGCATCATTCTAGTCCAGACACTACATTCAGCTTCAGAGAAGGTTTCCTGATAATGAAGGGTTTATTATTTCTATGTAGGTTTTGGTGACTGCTACCAGTATTGCCAATAAAAACTGGTAACCCTTCCTCTGCAGTAAATTACTATTTCTTGTACTTTTATCAGGGCTCTCGAGAAGCAAAAGTGATGAAAGCACCTGACTTCTTAAACCAGGTTTTATACTTTGGCTTCTTAGTTTAAACTGGCTGGAATTAGATATCTTTTCCCCCCAGCTAACTTTCTATGCCACAGATCAATTAGTTGTCAAAAATGCATTCATATCTTGTAGCAACAACAAAATATAGGAGGACACACATTAGAGCAAGCAAATGCATTCATACATTCAGAATGCAGGCAGAGGCAGGAGACAATTAGAGAAGGAAATTCAAAAATAAGGCATTTCCTGAGGATTAATGAGTGGGTGGTAGTGTTTGATAGTCAAGGGCAGGATGGGCTCTGCAACTGGCACAATCATTAATCCCCCAGGCAACACAAACTGCTAATTTTTTTTCTGTACTTCTTACTTTCCTTAACATCTAATTAAAATTTCCACTAAATTTGATACCATAATTTCCTCACAGAATCACAGAATAGTTTGGGTTGGAAGAGACCTTAAATATCATCCAGTTCCAACCCCTCCATCACAGGCTGGGCAAGTCCCATTTGGACCATGTTGCTCAAAGCCCCATCCAGCCTGACCTTGAACACTTCCAGGGATGGAGCATCCACAGCTTCTCTGGGCTTGTGCCTCACCACCCTCATAGTGAAGAATTTCTTCCTAATATCTCATCTAAACCCACCATCTATCAGTTTGAGGACATTCCCCCTCACCTTGTCACTATGTGCTTTTGTAAGAATTCCCTCTTTCCTGTACGCCCCCCTTCAGGTAGGTGCTAAATGGTCTCACTGAGGCCTTTTCTTCTCCAGGTTGAAGAGCCCCAGACCTCTCAGCCTCTCTGCAGAGGAGAAGTGCTCCAGGACCCTGAGCATCTTTGTGGACCTCCTCTAGACTTGCTCCAACAGGTTCATGGGCTCCTTATGTCAGGAGCCCCAGAGCTGGATGCAGCAGTCCAGGTAGGGTCTCCTCACCAGTGCAGAGGGGCTGGAAGAGAATCCCCTCTCCCTTGCTCTGCTGTCCACGCTGCTTTTGATGCAGCCCTGACCACAGCTGGCTTTCTGGGCTGCAAGTGCACATGGCCAAGACATGCTGAGTTGCTCATCCACCAACATTTCTAAGTCTTTCTCATCACCTCTGCTCTCAGTCCATTTTCTGCCCAGCCTTTACTGGTGCTTGGGATTGTCCCAAGCCATGTGCAAGTTCTTACACTTGGCCTTGTTGAACTTCATGACATCCAGAGCCCAATGCTGTCTGTATGTCTGAACAGTCCTACTATGATAAATAACATCTATACAATTACAGAATTAATACCTGGTGCAAAAGGCCAGGTAACTTGTCACGTTTCAGAAAGTAGTTGTAATTTTCTCCTAAAGACTAAAAATGTTGCCTGCCTTAGAAACAGACAGGTCTCAGCAGACATAATCCTTTCCTTTATATTACAAGCTGCTTGATGGCCTCCATTATCCAGTGGTAGCAGACAAGGAGTGAATCAAGTATTGGAGAGAACAACTGATTTTCAAGCTGCCTTTCAGTGCCTTAGGAAGCCACATACACTAATGCATTACCAAACATGTCCCAGGCAGCAAACATTCCTCTCCATCACCATAACTCCACACTAACCTGTGACAGGTGCATCTATGTCCAGCAAATTCTTTTCCTGGCGGAGAATCGAAGCTCCCTCTGTTATTATTCTCAAAGCGACGCTCTCTTCCAGTCTCCCTTCTTTCATAAGGTGTGCCTTTAAGATATCCACACGAGGTTTCCCATCATTATCAAACACTTCCTTAGCTGTGAGACGGTGACTTGGAGGAAATGGGACAGCTACATGAAAAAGAAACCAAAAAATATATGGTCACTCTTTACAGAAAAGCTTCTATTACTGACACATTTCAAAACACATTTCTGCTGCAGAACAATGCTACCAAAGATTTTCTACTCTCTCTTACAATTTGTGGTTTAAATTGTACATAGACTCCCAAAGATACCATTAAAGTGCATGTATTCTACAAGATATATTATTAACACATGCAAGAAATAATTCATGCTTATAAAAAATTGAGAGAAGTATATTTAGGCCATAATTACAGGTAGATACATTCAAGTAAATCCCCCAAAAGGCATGGGAATACTAGGGAAAGGAGGGAACAGAGTTTAAACTGCTCTGGTAGAAATAGAGAACATTGACATCCCTTTCATTAACGGCATAAAATGCACAAACAAGTGCAATATTTAATATCTGTGCATGGACATGCATAGATACACTCCAATTAAAATTCTAAAACCAAGACAGAGCTCTCTCTAATGACTTTGGGTAGAGCGATGTAGGATGTTGTCCCTGTATAAGTAATAGCTTGCTGCACAAGATACATCTGAAACCCATCAGTGCTGAAGAGACCATTCCAGCACGGACAGGGCAGAGGATGCATCAGACTGAAGTTGGAAATAAATGGATAAATACAAAGCTTGTCCTGGCAACATGGCTGCAACCTGCATACTGTCCTCAAGTAAGGTCAGAGGCATAAACTTGTATGTTCCTGCTCTCCTGGGGCCAGTTGGAGCAAGAAGGCTCAGAGGTGATGCTGTCAGTTGCCAGGATGAGGCTGGAACATTATCCCAGCTTAACCCCCTTTCCCTCGCAGTTCAGTTGGAGCAGCACTAGGCAGCGCCTGCCTCACCAGCCACAGGGTAATTATCCTGATCCCTGCCATAGATGCAAGAGGGTCAGGTTGTTCCAGAGCTCCAAGCAGGGACAGGAGGTAGCCACAGGGCTGGTTTCAGCTGGTCACATCTGCAGTGCAAACCTGTCCCTGCCAAAGGGTCTTGTCCCCTGTGGAATGTCTTACTGGCAGCCCCACCCCACCACAAGACATGAGACCCTAACACAGCAGATCAACATATCCATGAGCTTCAGTTTTCTTCTAATTTCACCAGCAGTGGACTGCAAAAACCCATAACTCACACTCATTATTTAAAGTTCAAACCCAACACTCTTCTCTTACATTACTGGAAGTAACAGAGCAGAAAATAAAAAATTTCACTTTACAGTTATTTTCCACTGATATTTTTGACAAAAACAGCTTCAGAAAATGCTTTTCCCCCCACCTCAATCTTGTTTTCATTCCTTTTCGCTGCTTCAGCAGTCCATTCACCGAAATAATCTGGTGGGGACATATGAATGTGAGTGTCTGAAATACACTGAAGCCTGACTGCTCTCAGACTTAAACATGGGGAAAAAGGTGAAAATTTATGAAATAAACAATTTATTATGCAACACAGAAAAAGAATAATATTTTCTAAAAAACAGAAGGTGAGTGACAGCTCAGCAGTTCTCCAAGCCTCGATCCTCTTTTTACAAAAACAAAACCCTGATCCTAAAGATCCTGCATTTCCAGTATTGAGAAAAGAGGAAGGGGAAAAGTTGGTACATATCTGCAATCACTTTGGCTGGAAGAAGCACATGCCATTAGCTTGCATTCCTTAGCAAGACAACAGCCACTGCTCCTCCTCAAAGGCATGATATTACACAAACCTATGCAGTGCACCAGTACTTTGAGGTAGCTACCATATATGCTTGTAATGCTGAAAGGAGATTTTTACATTTATAAAGACAGAGCAAAACACAGATGCAATGACAATAGCAAACAGAAGCTATGACATAAAACCTACTGATATAGAAAAAAAATGACATATGCTGCAGGACTGTAAGAGTTCTGCAGGCAGAGCTCTAACAAAGATGTACCCACACCTAATTAAAGAAAAAAGATACTGTTCCAATAGCAGATGATTCATGATTAATTAGCAAAAACATGACTGACTGAATAGACCACAAATTGCATCTTCCATTATGAGAATATTAACTTTGAATGATTAACTTTGAATGTACACATACACAGAGCTTCCATAGAAGAACAAAGTAAGAAATGGTCACATTTGTGCAGAAGTCAGTTAAACATCATTTTTACTAATAACACCCACAAACGCCGGTATCAACCAAAATCCTTTTATAAATACAACAAACATTTAACTTCCATTGCTTTATAGAGAGCAATGTTACCATCTGAATACACAGGTATCCATCTGTTTCTCCATTCTTTTTTTTTCTTTTTCTGCTTTTTTAAACCTATCGTATTAGCATATATAAGTAAATAATAACAAATGCAATAAATTTGACTCTTCTCAGAAATAAACCCTAGAATTTCATCAGACACCAACTGTGCACACAATACACAATGAGGAAGAGCACAGAACTGGGAAAGGCAGGAAGAGGAAGGAGTGGGGTACTGAGCTGCCAGTATTGAGCTCCTCGCCAGGGGATGTTTTTGTAAAAACAGACAAGAACCTGTATTAAGCAAAGGCCATAAAAAGGGAGAGGCAATAAAATGTGCATCTACACATAAGACATAATTTTAGAAGTTTAGAGACAAATCTTGCTACAAGACCACCACACAAGACTCATGCATGCCTAATCATATTCTATAAAACTTAAAACCTGGACTGGTGTCCATCTCATTTACATTACTTTCTTTATACTGGCATAAAAAACAAACAAACAACTATTGGCCAAGCAAAATACTACCCTGGTGGTTTGGTCATAAAACATGAACCACAACCAAATGCAAAGAAACAAAGTTTAAAACCCTTGACCTCAGCCTGTCAGTAACAGTCTCCTGAGATCCTAAAGCACAAGAAAATTCTCTTTAACCATTTAATAATGGGGATTTTTCCACTTGTGCTTTCAGGTCTCTTGAGCATGTTCCAGCAAATGGAGGAAAAGATCAACCTGTTCTTTTGCTGTTCTTGCAGGCTCCTGTAAAACCCATCTCATCGCTAACACAGCCACTGCAAAGGTCAGACATCATTACTGTTCCTCTCAAATATTAAGCAGCCTCTCTGGAACAAATAAATAAACCATAAAGAGCTCTGCTTAATTAGAGTGGACCATGTGTGCTCGCATAAATAAAATACAAGCATGTGGCAAAGCAAGCATTATTTTGTTTATATATTATTCATTTTAAAATGAAGCTGTACACTAAATTAATACTCTCAGAGGAGGCTGCCCATAAGAAAAGCCCTCTTTCATCAATGTTCAAGTTCGCAAATTATCTCCCCCTCTAATGCTTGTCCTATAATTTTATGCAACTTATGCTGCATGGCTGTACATAACTATAGCACACCGTACCTTTATGGCATATATATGCTTGCTTTTTTACTTGTAAGGAAAACACACCAATAACATCTGCCAACATCTCAATAACCCAATGCACTGCATTTGTCTAACAGCAATTTGCAATTCTCCATTTTGAGAAACATTTGCACTACAGCCATGCCTAGAGCACAAGTTAAACACACTGACACTATGCCACAGGTGCAGAAAACTTAAAAGGTCACTCTGCAGCTTTGGTTTTTTTACATCTACTTCTTCATAGCCTTCAGACTCAGTATGCACAAAAGTTTCCTAAAACTATGATAAAAATCATCTCCGAAATGCCAACAAAACTGTATTTTTAAAAGACAGAAACATTTTTAATAGTTAACTAACAGGTTTTGCAATCTGACTTTGAAAATCTAACCCATTTTATAATGTGTTTGAACGTATAGCATAACCCAGAGCATTCCTGCTGACCAGTAACACCCATACTGGAGTTTTTACTATTTAATCGGAGTTCTGCATTTCTGCACCATATTGGGTCTGACAAAACCTATGCAGCAACACAAAGACACAGCTGAAGATCAACTTTTCAGCCTAAAGACATGAATTTAACATTACCTAATTCCTGTACAGTTGCCTATGAACTTCTGGTTTACATGGTTTCTATGAACCTAAGGGGAAGGAACGATGACTTTTTTTTCTTTCAAGAACCCTACTTAATTCAGGTGACAGACTGAAACAAGATGAGTCACCATCATCCACAGCTGCTAAAGGGGAACAGAGTGAAACCCCCAGGCAGCGCAGGGCTCACCAAAGCAGTGGAAAAAGGAAAGGGAACTGCCAAAGATGCTCAGCCCCGCAAGACATGGAATTCTCATGTGACAAACATCCCCCCTCAACAGATTTCCTCAGGCACCACATGGATAATGCTTTCATCTCCATACACAAGTTTTCTGGAGACAGATTCAACCATTCCAACATACTGAATCACTGCGATCTCTTTGTTAACCTGCATATTACTTCCTTAGCAGGTATTTTTTTAGGAGTATCACAGAGAAAGTTGAGTTATTCAGAAGACAAAATTTCTTTTCAATATAAAATTTTGTACTATAACATTCATACCATATGCAAGTTCTTATTAGTTTTTTGTGTACTTGGCAGGGAAATATGTCTACACCTGATTAAAAAAAAATCCAGCTATTTATATGACAGCAAAAGAGTGAAACCAAAATCATCTCAGTGGAGCTAAAAGTGGAACACATGTTCTGATGTTTCCTAACAAAAACTATCAGGTTTCATTTTACATTAGCTACTGTCATTAGAGTAGGCACTGAAATTGGCAATCTCTCTCTAAAAGATCAAGCTTTCTACCTGCTATTTTAAGACATGACGTATTTGAGGACTGTTTTTACTAAATCTGCTCACCAGATGGTGAAAGTGTTGGAAATTAGAATCTGGAAAATAAATCTACAGTATAAAATAAGAAGCAGCTATGAGGATTCCTATAGAAATTTAGCGTGAATTTTTCTTCATTGCCAACAAGTTCTTGCAGTGTAATCAGAAGAGCTCACAACCGTATTTGCTAAAAGACATAACTAAATTAACATCACTCATGAGCAAGGCACTTTGCTTCACAGAAAGCTGAGCTTTTCACTGGGCTAGCCAGTCAATA